GGAGTTGTGCATCCATGTCTACTGTTATGAATGTATGTCCCTGTCTTACAGGAACTTGCATATAGAGAGGGAAAATGTGATGGTGTTTTTTCTTCTGCCTGGTAACATTTATGTATATGCTAACACATTGTCCTTTTGCTCCAGATGTTTTCAATCAGAGTCCATTTGAGACTCAGCTATTAGGGAGCAAGAGTTGTTATTTGATGTTGAGTTCAATCTGGCCTTTGGTGCTGCAGTCTGCCTGTATCTTGACCCAATTTGCTCCAAGGAAAACCATAGACTTTGCCACAGGAAGCTTAAAGTATGATGAGATCAATACTTATTCGTGGAGTATTCTTACCAAATCATCATATCTTCTCAGAATATCACTTTCTGTTTCCTGAGACTGGATTGCAAACTATATGTTTATAGAATATTCCAAGTTCTTGAATACCAACCATGGTATGCATTTAACAAGCACGTATGGAGCGCCAACTCTGCACATGATATTGTGCTGGACAGGAAACACGTACTGGTTTTACTCTAGCACTTAATTATCAATAACACTGCGCCAAGGAATTTAGGGAGTAACAATGTCTAGTGATGCTAACATTTCACCAGAGAGAATCATATTAACTTTTTGTTTGTTAATATCAGATATTTATCAAATTCTTATGATAAGCACAGTGAGGATAAAATGACCACCAAAGATCTTCTCTCACAATGCTGCACAAATTAAAAACAAAAACAAAAAATGAAGGTTTTAAGCCTGGGAGTGATGGGATTTGTGTCTTTAAGGGGGGCAATTCTTTCCCCTCAACGGTTGGAAAGTGTCCCTCCCACACACCTTTTTGTTGCCTGCTGAGTTCTGCTTATTCTTTGTCAAACTTGAGGCCTCTAGATAGGGAAGAGTACCTGATCTCTGGATTTGGGTGTTTTGTACTCCCTTGCATATCCTTTTCACCCCTGTGTAGCTTAGTACGTTGGGTATTCACATATCCAGATGCCCCACCAGACGGTCAAGGCTCCTACCAGTGTTTTATATTTGTATCCTCGATGCCTAGGCAAAGCACAGAGCAGGTACCCAGTAAATATTAGTTGGATAAACCCCGGGAAAAGCAGGTTCAGGGAAGTGGGGAACACAGTCAGACTGCAGGAGGGTGAGGCAAGAAAAGGAGGTGAGTCTGGAAGACTGTAAGAAAAGGCAGATCTCACCTGAGAGGAGACAGTGAGGTGGCAGCAGGTAGAAAGGCCACAGAGGGGCCAGGGATGGGGGAGAATTAGATTTCTTTACAAGTTGGGAGAGATACATGTTTGAATATTGATGGGGAGGTCTGGAAGGAGGATTAAGATCCAGGAGACTCTATTAGTTACTGATGCAACGATGTCATGTAATAAACTACTCCCAAACTCCGTGGTTTATAGTTATAATAAACACGTATTGAGCTCATGTGTCTGCATGCTAGCTGTGTGGTTCTGGATTACATTGCAGGTTTGTGTGTCTGAGTCTGCTCCCTTCTCCTCAAACCCCAAAGCTACCCAGACATGTTCTCCTCCTCTTGTTGGCAAAGGCTGAAGAAGGAGGACCAGGAATATCTGAGGTCTTCTAAGGCCCTGGCTCAGAACCAGCGCATCATCACCCCTGCCCACACTCGGCTATTCAAAGCAAGTCACATGGAAATCTCAGTCTCAACCACCATAAAGCAGGGAGAAGTACTCTGCCTGCAGTGAGCCATATCCAAGAGGGGGAGGAAGAAAGAATTGTGGGTTAGGAATAGTTTGGAATGGCAAGAGAATAAAATGGTGGCAGGAAGGTCATTTAAATGATACATGATAAAATTTAATGATAATTAAATTTAAATCATAAACCACAAGGTCCAAAGTAGATGGTGAAGGAGGAAGGTGGAGTCTATGGAGAGGATACGGGGAGCAAGGGGGTGATGCCCAGCATAAAGATGAGTGAGCGTACAAGTGTCTGAGCAGGAATAGTAAATAAGATATCGAAGGAGCTGTTGGGATGCTGTCAGATTCAGGCAATGGTTAGACAGGAGGCGAAGGAAGTGGAAGCCGAGGAGAACAATCCTGAGAGAGGCCTAGACGTTAGAGAGGTGGTCCATGCAATGGATAGACGTGCAATGAAAGGACAGCTGGATGAGGGGGTGCATCAAGGGAACCTAGAGGTAGGATTGGAGTTCCCAGTGAAGAAAGCGTGTTATCAGGGGCTCTGGGGAAGCCGAGATTGGGGGAAGGTGCTATCCTGCCCTGAGAGTGGAAGGGAAATGTCTGCACATAATACTGGAGAGGGCAGGGGATGCCAGCCTCAGCTCCTGATGGAGATCTCTGTGTTGAAGAAGGAAGAGAAGAGATCCTAATGTGAAGCCTGCAGGGGAAGCAGCAGCCCCGGGAGAGAGCAGAGTTGCAGTTAGGGTGAAGAGTCCACGTGGTTGAAGAGGCTTCTAGAAAGGCAACATTTGTTTACCAGAGAGTTGGTTCTCAAGCAAACTTGGGGATCGTGTGTTGTGATGGGACAAGTCCAAGATGGTGGGAGAAAAGGGTCAGTCACGGGGCACGACAGCAAGGTGGGGGGTGGCCGAGTCAATGTGAAGAACATCCCAGGCCTTTTGGAAAGAAGGGATCCAAGGCCAAAAGAGCACACAGACAATGAACTGAGTAATTCCTTTCTCTCGCTCTCAAAATTGTTTAATATGTACCTCATGTATCTCAGTGAAGTTGAGGAGAAAATGTACAGAGAGAGAGAGAAAGTGTGTTCACATAAGTGAACACACTAAACAGCCAGAGGACTCATTCTACGTATTGATAAGGCTGCAGCTCTCATCTTTTGATCCAGGCAAAGGGAAAGGCTAGCACCCCGAGGTGCTAAAGTTGTAGAAATTAGCTCTGTTGTCACCAAAGCTTAGCAATTACCTGCCCAGAAATCCCAGAACCTCTGCTTATGAGTTTTCATTTCTTATTAACCTTCATAGGGCTTGCCCTGATAATTAAATCACACATATTATGTACCAGTTCATCTTCACCAATTAAGATGATAATTAGCTTTCACGTTCTGCCAGGTATTTACCAAACACTCTATGAAAAGGCGCTTAATGAAACAATCACCATGTGTAATCGCATTAACAAGGGAGGGAACCCATGGGGAGGATTTGAAATGTCTAACAGTAGAGTGGAGGATAATGGGACTTCCAGGTAAACACAGACCCTAGAAGAGCTACCACAAGTCCAACAGCATTTGGAGGAGAGCATGGGCCATCTGGGAAGACTGGGTGCTCTCTACCTTGGCAGGTCATAGGAACAGGGAGCTGGTATCTACAGCAGTATAGCTTGTAGGCTTTGACATTAATAGAATGACAGCCAACAGCAAGTATCACTTGTCAAAGGCTCACTTTGTGTAAGGTGGTGTGCCTGGTGCTTTTGAGCCTTGTGTCAGTTTGTTATACAGAAGTCTTATGACGTCGGTGTGACAGTTTGAAAGCTAAATGTCTCCCACAGGTACTATTTTCAAGGCTCTGGAACCTCTCGTCACCGGGAGAAGCCCTTTAAAGGATAAAGCCCAACCCCTAGTTCCGGCTGTTCTCTGCTTCCTGGCCCACCACACGGAAGAAGCCTCCATCACTGGCTCCAGCCATCACGTCTTCCTCAACACTCCAGACTGATGTTTCTCTAAAACCTTTCCTGCTCCCTTAAGTCATCTCTGTCATGTATTCTGTTCACAATGAAAGGAAACCATATAGTAGATACTGTGATTGCTGCGATGTACAAACGACTGTGTCCCAAAGAGGCTAAGCAGCTTGTCTAACGTCCTGTGGTTGGGAACAGCAAAGCTGAGGCTTGAATGCTGACTGCGAAGAGACTAGCTCTTCCTCCTGGAAGGAGACTGATGGGAAGCAGGGTTTCTGAGGACAGTGGTACCCAATACTGCCATGTAGCTTCCACAACAGCTTAGTCCATGGGTGGTGAATGCAGGGCACCTATGTAGACCGTTACTCTCTGGAACTACCCTACTCCCAGATACCTCTAGCATATCACATGCTTTCTCCCACTGAGTCCAGATGTGGTTTTACTGCTTCTTGCCCCATCACTTCAGGCAGCCGATCAGGACTGACATTTGAGATGAAGCTTCTTTGCTATCACTGACTTAGAGGCCCCATGAAAAGGGGCTGAAAACAGAGTCCTGAGTTTGCACACGTTTAGGATCATCTTTCTTCCTCTTCAAGTGATTCCAAAGATGTTCCACTGTCAGTGAACTCTGAAGGAAGGTGAGGACTCAATGGGATAAAAATCTGCTAATGGGGTGTTTTTTTTTTAACTCTTTAGTCTTTGGCTCTTTTGGGGGGCCCGCCACCCAGCTCCCAAATAAATCACACAGAGGCTTATTCTTACTTATGAATGCCCGGCCTTAGCTTGGCTTATTTCTAGAGAGGTAACATTTGAATAAAAATGCAAAGCTGAAGAAAAAGACCTGGTGATCAAAACTGTCATGTCTGTGTTTCATGGGGAATCAGGAATCCTCACAGTACGCAGCTGCACAACCCAGTGCATGATGTGACACCAGCACCCGTTGGTAGAAGCCATGACCTTCCTACATAGTCATGTCTACACAGGTGTCGCAGTGTCTGTTTAGCTTAGACAATCAATAATGAGGTCATGTGGGAAATTGTTACGCCCCACAAAAGAAGTGCAAAATCAGCTTCTATGACTCAAGAGCTGACCCGGGTCAAAGCTTTGGTATATGCTGGATGTTGTTTTGGTGACACCCAAAGCTTACTAAGATTCTCTGCTCTAGGGATTGTCCCCAAAACAAAACTCCTGGTCCACAAAGCTCAACAACTGTAGAAATAAGAAACTGTACAAAGAGAACAAGCCACAGTCCCCTTTCCAAGGGCTTAAGGTTCCTGTGCCACAGTTCTGAAGGCGCCCACTACAGCCACACACTTTGACCAAACTCAACATGCTGGATTGTTCTGAAGACAAGCGCCCACAGGCAGGCGGCTGCTGTGCCAAGTTCAACAAAACACAAGATGAGAGTTCTCATACTGCAAGACAGCTGGGCAGCAACAGAAGAAAGACTTAAGGCAAGAAGAGGCGCTGGAGAGTCAACCCCATGGCCTCCAGTAGGAACGGTGTCTTCTCTTTCTTTCTTTCTTTCTTTCTTTCTTTCTTTCTTTCTTTCTTTCTTTCTTTCTTTCTTTCTTTCTTTCTTTTTTCCTTCCTTCCTTCCTTCCTTCCTTCCTTCCTTCCTTCCTTCCTTCCTTCCTTCCTTTCTTTCTTTTCTTTTATGGTTTTTTCGAGACAGGGTTTCTCTGTATAGCTTTGGAGTCTGTCCTGGAACTCGCTCTGTAGACCAGGCTGGCCTCAAACTCACAGAGATCCTCCTGCCTTGGCCTCCCATTTCCTCCTCCTCATCTTCATCTTCCTTCCTGTCTATTTCAGAGCTGCCTGAAGACTCATGGAGCAAGACATATTCTGCTACTGAACCTAAATTAAAGGATATCTTTTCTTTCAGTTCATAGTATCTCTGTGGCTCAATATGCTTGTTGTTCAAGAAGGGTCCATTGCCTGAGCCAAGGTCAATGAAGAAGGGCTTCACCCTTCGTCCAACTGTGCCCTCAGCACGCATGTACTCCATAAGCCGGTACTGGAAGACTGCATGCTGCTTTGAGCAAGAGGGATGGTCGATGGGAATGTCGGTGGCCATGCGGTGATCTCCACCCGGAAGGCAAGCACTCTGCCGATGGATGTACATGACCAGAAGTACCTCATCATTTTTAAAGGGGTAGAGACACCACCGTTTTTCTGGGATTCGGGCTTCTGGGGACTCGGTGTACTTAATAACCACACCCCGGAAGGTATTGGTGTCCTCAAGAAGTACCCCAGAAAGCTTAAAACTTGGTTTTTCTTTAACAGACACCTCTTTGCTACTGTTACCAGTAGGGCGAGTGATCACCTCCTGAGCCTCACCGCCAGCACCTTCATTCTGCTGGTGATGCTCCCAGCGCAGACGCCTGGCATTATGAAAGTCCCTCTCTTCTTCCCGGGCCTGCAGATTTTGGCTGTCTAGACCCTGCCTACCGACAGGACTCTCATCAGAGCTCTTCCTCCTTTGGTGGGAAGGGCCCCAGTGCAGTTCTCGCTCACTGTTAGGAGCTCTCCTTTGCTCCTGTTCGGATGGTTCCCTGGGCTGCCGATCCTCTCGTCCTCCCCGTGGGTGGTTCTCACGTTCCTGATTCACTTTGACCGTGCAGTAGTGGGGACTCCGGCTTCTGTTAGCCGGTGGAGACTTGCTTCTCCCTGAGGACTTGTTTTTCCTTTTGCCTGGGGACCAGCTCGCTCCCCGGGTTTGACTGCCATGGTGGCCCCAGGCAGCCCGGCTCAGGGCGGGCGGGGACAGGCTAGCAGCTGGGGCGTGGGGACGGGGAGTGAGACAGGCGCTCAGAGGCTCCCACTTCACTACCACGGTGGCCACTCTTCCTCTGCCCTGTGTCGCTGTTGACTTCGACGCTCCCGCTTGCTCTTTCCAGCCTTCATCCTGCGCCCAGCTGAGAGCCACTTGCGAGGTGGTTGAGCCACTCCCAGTTTTTTTTTTTTTTAACTTAAATTAAGCCTTCAATCTGTTGCCTTTGGACTTTTATCTTCCTCTATTTCTGTATACTTTTCTTTACTTCTTGCTCCGTGGCTTGCTGTGTAGCTGGGTGACTGGCCCCTGGAGTCCTCCTCTTCTTCTTTTTTTGCTCCTTCTCCTCCTTTCTAATGTTCCTCTCCTTCTATTTATTCTCTATGCCTGCCAGCCCCATGTATTTCTCTCTCCTGTCTCGCTATCGATAACCATTCAGCTCTTTATTAGGCCAATCAGGTGTTTTAGACAGACAAAGTAATTCAGCTTCACAGAGTTAAACAATGCAACATAAAAGAATGCAATACAACTTTGCATCATTACAGAAATGTTCCACAGCATAAACAAATGTAACACATCTTAAAATAATATTCTATCACAATGGGGGAAGCAGAGAGCCTGGAAAGTCTGTTTTAAGGTGGGTGCTAGCTTCCTTCTCCCAGAGAGGCCATCATCAAGTTCAGACTTGGCTCAGGGTCAAGTGTAGATTTCTCAAGGTCCTAGAAACACTTCTGTTGGAGAAAGAGTGAATGATCCAATCACCCAGATCCCAGGGGAGGTATGGGAGTTGAAGGCCTAGGGCCAGAGACTGGTGGTGGCTAGATGTGTACCAAAGAGCAGTCTGGCAAAGATGTAGAGAGAGGCCCCATGGAATAACATGGTCAGTAACTCTATTCTAGAGGATGATGTTGAGAATTCTGAGGCCAGGCCCAACCTGGATGTAAAACTAAACCTTAAGTGACCTAGGCAGGAGGCCTAAGGAGCCCTGGGATAAAGACTGTGTACTAGACAAACAGAGTATGTCTTAGTTGGCCTTTTCATTATTTTCCATTTCATTATTTTTCCATTTAGGCTGTGTTTGATTTTCCCTCAGTTTTCTACAGTTGTAAAATATCAACTTCTTTATTGATCTAAGGGGAGAAAGGAACTACCCACAACAAGAAAGGAAGGTAAGGAGTCATGAGTGGCATGGAGGCAACTGGCCATCTTGAGAAGAACCATGAATCTGGAAGATTCAGGAGGACACTTGGGGATGGGGGAGGATACTCAGGAAAGCAGCCATCGGTGGGCTTTAAGGTCTTCCTCTAACTCTGACTTAGGTATCTATCTATCTATCTATCTATCTATCTATCTATCTATCTATCTATCTATAAATATATAATTATATAATTAAATACATAATTAAACAAACTATTGAATATTTTCCTTGAGCTTTGGTGGTCTCCACTCTCATTTACCCCATTGAGGTCTTGGCTTCAAGTTGATAGAATTAGGAAAGGCTCAGAAGGAGTCCCCAATTGGCAATGCTAACAAGTCAACCAGAAGAGGGCTTGGGTCCAGGGGAGAAGGAAGGAAACCGCTGTTCAGAACTAGGTATCCCCCTAGGTTTGAGGGGGTGTTAGGCCCTTTTGAGGAAAGGACTGAAGCCTTCTTGGGTTTCATCAAGTAAGTGTACATGTGTATGGGGTAAGGGAAGGAAGGCTGAGAGGAAGAACACATCACTTAGGGATTAGAAGTCTCAACCACAGGGCCAGGCCTCATGGATGCCAGAAAGGGTTTTATAACCTGGCCCCACAAGAAGCCTAGACCAAACCTGGGAGCATCGCCCGCAGAATGAAGGTGCTGGCGGTGAGGCTCAGGAGGTGATCACTCGCCCTACTGGTAACAGTAGCAAAGAGGTGCCTGTTAAAGAAAAACCAAGTTTTAAGCTTTCTGGGGTACTTCTTGAGGACACCAATACCTTCCGGGGTGTGGTTATTAAGTACACCGAGCCCCCAGAAGCCCGAATCCCAGAAAAACGGTGGTGTCTCTACCCCTTTAAAAATGATGAGGTACTTCTGGTCATGTACATCCATCGGCAGAGTGCTTGCCTTCCGGGTGGAGATCACCGCATGGCCACCGACATTCCCATCGACCATCCCTCTTGCTCAAAGCAGCATGCAGTCTTCCAGTACCGGCTTATGGAGTACATGCGTGCTGAGGGCACAGTTGGATGAAGGGTGAATAGAAAGGCACAGCGACTCTCAGAACAAAGACCTTGACATGAAGATGGCCAGGCACCAAGGTTGCTGTGAGAGAAGGGGACACAAACGTCTATTATCAGGGAGTCTAAGATGTCACTGTCTCCTACAGGGTACCCCAATCACGCTGTGCAGTATTCCTAATGCTCTTCACTATAGGGTCACTGACTCCAGGGGCAAAGTAGAATTATAAACATCCATTTGTTCATCCCAGGCCACATGATACTGCCAAGGGGGAGGGAGACAGAGAAAGACTCTACCTTAGCATGTACTGGAGGTCTGGGCAGTGAGACCCACCAAAGGTAATTATAATAGAGCAGGGCAGTGGTACAGGCATTTAATCCAAGCACTTTGGAGGCAGATGGGGTTCTCTGAGTTTGAGGCCTGCCAGGTCTACAAAGGAGTTCCAGAACAGCCAGGGATACACAAAGAAATGGTCTTGAAAAACCGAACCAAACCAAACCAAATCAAACAACCAACCAAACAAACAAACAAAACCCCAAAGACCTCCCAAAACAAAAACAAAAATACCAAAAATTTAATCATAATGGAAAATTCTTACCAGATATGAATCAGAATTAGCCAAAACAAACAAACAAAAAAATAAATCTACTTTTATCTTCAACCTGCTGCTTGAATGAACTGGACCTGCTTTGTATACTGTTCAGCACCCCAACATGTCTAGGCTTGTTTGGCTGTGTGAGGTCCTGATCTTGGTTCTCACTCATACTTAGGACTAGGATCACTGACTTCTCCTCGACTGAAGCCCGTCTGTGTACCTTGATTTTCACTTTGAGCTTTCTGTTCAACCTTTCAGACCCCCAGCAGGAAACAGATGGCAAACTCAAATGGGATCATTTGAAAGGAATTTAGTAAGAAAGATTACTACACATGCGTAGACAGCATGTAGAAGGGTCAGAAGGAATAATGTAGCTTTCTGGGCCTAGTGACGGTGGGACTTCATTGCTATTGGAAGGGGCCAAAGGGGGTTGACAGGAAGCAGTTACTGTCAGGCAGGAAGAGAGGGAGGGAGGGAGGAGAGATGAGAGCATGAGAGGCCTGAGCTATGACCCGCAATGGAGGAGGGAGCCTAGCTAGCTCCCAGGAGTGATGGCCTCCCTTCCCTTGATTCCCTTCCAGTATCCCAGTCAGAGTCCTGGAAGGCAGAGAGAGCAGCATCCTTGATGCAATCCATGCTGGGGCGTGAGGTGAAGAAAAGAGAAGAGGCCTGGAAGGGCAGATGAGAGATCTCCAGCTTACAGGATTTCCTCCCCGGCAACCACTTCCAATCCAGAACTAGAGGACACTTCATATGGTACCTGCGTTTCCTGGCTGGAGTTTTACTGATCTATGCCATGGCTGGTGGAGATCTGGGAAGAGGAAAAAGAAGTTTATATGGTAATAAAGGCCACCTGGTGTCAAGCAAGCAGAGCGTAGGGTAAGGGTTGTGAGGTGTGGATAGCTGGCTAGTCTGACAGGTAGATGAGAACTGAGCAAAAGGCACCGAGATGGGTGCAATCACAGGCACAGGGAGGTCCAGCTTGGAGGGACACAGATGGTCTATCCAGTGGGTTAGGCACAGCCATGTGGACTCTTGGGCAGGATCCACAGACTTCAGCAGATAAATTCATCTCAATGTTCCTAAGTATTTTCTTCCGGAGCGCCATACTAGGCATTGAGAAACTGAAGATGGAGAAGAAAATCCTTTCCAGAGCCAGATATGGAGGTGCACACCTATAATGCTTACACTTAGGAGACAGAGGCAGGGGGATTATGAGTTCTAGGCCAGCCTGGAACACACAGTGGGGCATCCTTTCTAATTAGAAAAACACCTTTTAAAATAATTTCAGTCTAATGTGAAATATGATTACATAGAGGTATCAAGGGGTTTTTAGGACCCCCCCCCCCTTGATCTGATCTGGGACTTGCTAGAGAGAAAGATTCCAGAACTCCTTCATAGGGTGAGAGTCAGGCCAAGGATGGAGGAACAGGCAAAGCCTGTGAAGGAAGGGCTGCAGGATGGTCAGGCATTGCTGTGGAGGAAAAGAAGAGGTAAAAAGTGGCGAAAGATGTGGCTGAAGATGGGTTAGAGGCACTCTTTGGCAGCTTGGGTACCACACACAGGAGCAAACAAGGAGGAGCACACATCACAGTGTGGCTAACAGGTAGGTCTAGTGCATTTGCAGGGTCCTCTAGAGGGTGGGGGAAACTGGATCTAAGGGGCAATGGAGGGTACTATTCTAATAGTGCAGGCTGGTGAAAGTGAGGTCTGAGCTAGGCAAGAGTGTCTACTAGAACTGGCCTTAAAGAGCCAAAACAGAGCCCTGCAGAGTCCCCACAGAGCTCCACAGAACCCATCAGAGCCCATCAGAGCCCCATAGAGCCCCACAGAGCCCCACAGAGCCCCACCAGAGCAGATGCTCAGAATTCATGGCTGCCTTTCTCACCACACTTAAGACTGAGAGCCCTCCACACAGGGCCCATCCACTGTGGCTGCTGTTCTTCATTGCTATCTGTCTGGGCAGCAACTGGTCCTAAACTACTTAAAGGTCATAGATTTCAGCAGATAATTCTGCGTCGGGGGTAATTAAGGATTTCTGAAGCTCTCAGGAAATCCAGAGAGTTCTTAGGCTTCTGGTCTAAAGCGGTAAAAGAAAGCAGGAAGCTTAGTGGAACGGCCAGGCTCTCTAGTGAAGATTTGCAGGACTCTGCATGGAGCTGCGGATGATGGGGAAGGATGGTTATCTCCACAGTTAGGGAGCCTCACCTGTCCCCCACAGGAATGCTGTATCCATGGAAGTAGATAAGTTCACTCTCCAGTTCCTGCACTTCAGGTGATGGAAGTGATGGACGTGGAAACTGTGTCCAGAAAACAGTGGTCTATTCCATCACACCAAGGAGATGCTTCTGCTGAACATAGGCAAGGATGGGATTCCTGTAAATCTGCCTTCTCTTCTCTCATAGTTCCTGCCTACTCTTTAAAGGAAGGGGCCGGGAGGTGTTGGCCTCTCCCCCTTCTTGTCTGAGGGCTTGCCTTGAAGCACCTCCTGCCAAGAGTTCCCACTGTGGACTCCTCAGCTCCACTGCAGACGCACCTGACTTCGGATCTGTGAGAACACAGCTTGCCAACTTGGGTGCCTCTGTGGGGTCTTGGGGCCGCAGCTGATCTTTCCTGATGGCTCCCTTTCCCCTGGGCTGACCCTCCTCTCCCAATATTTGATTTCTATAAGTCTAACAGCAGTCCTCCCTCTGGCTAGCTTACCCACCATTTATACCTAATTTCATATGGCACAATAAGGAATACATATAGCACTAAACATGTCTAAATAACTTTGCTCAAATTTCTGCTTCATTACAATAGTGGATGAGATGCATGTACCTTGAGAATTTAACCTCTTTGGCCTTCGGCTCCCATACGTGTAAAATAAGGGCAATAGATCAATGTGTCTTCCCCTAGCCCCAGCTGGAGCCTGGAACCACTGGATGGCTTTGTGGAAAGAGGGAGCCCTCGCTTCAGCATTCTAAATTCTGATCTAGTTGATTTGGAGTTGGGACTCTAATTATGTATATTTTTCTTAGTTTTCCAGGTTCTGTCATTGCCTTCAACCCCATTACTGACCTGAGGGAAATTCTAGCATAGATCCTCTCGGCTTGCTTTTCCGAACCTCATTCTCTTATTCACGGATTCATTCCCTCAGAGGGAAATGATGGGCGAGTAGCTGGAGATAGGCAATGAGAGACGAGGTGAGCTTTTAATTCACTTTAGTAAGATTAGAATTTATCTCAGTGACAACAGGAACGACTCTGAAGGGTTTTAAGTAGGTGATTCAATCAGATTGATGTTTTAGAAACGATGTTCTTATCCAGTGGGCAAGACGGCCAGAGGCTGAAGTCGTCGGAAGGCTTTGTAATGATCTGAATAAAGGAGTGTGTTGGACTGGATGAGAGCCGGGGCAGGAATGGGAGACTGGGTGATTTGTGTTCTGTGAGTAAAGTAGAATGGGCAGGACTCTGGAATCCCTACACTTTGGATTTGAAGCGGGGCGGGG